ATGGCAATTGCATACTGGAATTTAATATTGGCTGGGCGTTTTAAATTTCTAGATCTATGGAACAAATTTTTATTGGTGAGTATTGATCTGTACATGGCTGTAAGTTATAAATAGATTTAACTTTTAAACCTGAATGTGTTTTTAAATGTATGCCCCGCCCTAGCATCACCAAACTGTAAAACAGTTTTATTTTGACACTTGCAGACTTTAAAAATGGTTACGGAGAACACTGTGCATCATACACTAGACAGCTGAGGATCACACACTAATAAACTTTCAAGTTGTTCTGAACACAACAGACTCGGGCAGAAACATGCACTTTGTAGCTAGAAGATGCATGACATTTTAAAACGATATGTATTACAAAATCGGCTCAAAATACCAAACATGTCTGATATTCTCAGGCTGGACAGATTCATAGTCTGATGCTAAAAAAATCAGAGTCTGCGCCCATGATACACTGTGTGGTTTTCTGCGAAATTTGTCAACTCTGGTTGCCCAAAATCTACAGGCTGACTCTGATTTTTGGCAGCAATATTGATGTGTCCAGACTGAACTGCGGCAAAAATCTCGGCAAAAGTAGTGTAGAGTGTTCCAGTCTAAACTGGTATAAATAGTGTTTAACACTGTAAACCTGGATGAATGTTTTGTTTGCTTTTGCATTGCAGGAGCATCATAAGCGATCCATTCCCAAAGACACATGGAACCTTTTGTTAGATTTCAGCACAATGATCACAGACGATATGTCAAACTATGATGAGGAAGGTTAGTTTGAACTTATTTAACTTATTTAATTGAATTACATGTTCATATGCATATATATGTATGTGAATTTCAGCACAATGATCACAGACGATATGTCAAACTATGATGAGGAAGGTTAGTTTGAACTTATTTAACTTATTTAATTTAATTACATGTTCATATGCATATATATGTATGTGAATATATACACACACACACACACACACACAAACACATATATATACATACTAGGGATGGGAAGATGAATCGGTAAAAAATGTTAACGATGCGATGCAAAAAGTGCATCGGCTACAAGTTGTCATTTATATCGCGATGCATCGTTTCTAACATATTTGCATCTGTAAAAAACTATTTATTTTTATATAATTACTAGTGAATGCGCTATACTTTTATTATTTAGAAAGTGACCAATAATCTGTGACCAATATTTTATATGTAGATTGATTTCTCCTCTCTAAACTGTTTCTCAAGCGCGCTCTCTCATCACTGCTGCTGCACACAACACCACGGAGACGGTAGACCCGAGGAAAAACTGGGATTAAAGTCCAAAATCTGACTTGAAATAACCTAACAAATCAATCGGGGCTAAAGCGGTTCCGTTAAAGACAAATTAAATTCACACAATCTCACTAATTTGTGCACATTTATTCTTAAATAGACCTTAATGTCGATCATGGATCAAATCGATCCACCATGACAAACGGCAAATAAATCTGTGCTGTTTAATGCATTTGAGACGTGTTTTCCCCAGTGCATAACTGACATGTCACAGGTATATTTTTCATCTGTAAATGTTAGAAAGTCATGCAAACATATAGAGACATGTGAGAGCAACGAGCGCATATGCGTGCATGCACGCTAAACAGACAGAGCGCAATCGAATAGGAGCACAATAATTCTGAGTAAAATATACATTTTGCTAAAAAAAAATTGTTTTTGGACATTAAATGTGCCTTTTGTAGAATCTTAAACCTACATATAAAGTGTATTTTTATGATAGCAGTAACTTTAAGTGGACTATTGTAATAGGTAGCCTAAATCAAATGTAAGATAGTAGGCTACAGTACTAATTACTAAGCTCAAATGAGTTAATGTGTGTTTCTTATAGCAGTTCAAATGTAGTATTTTTCTTTATTATTTATTTTCATTTTTAATTCAGTGATTTTATCTTTTAATTTAGTTATTTTAATGCTTTAATGAGCAATTTTAGATTGTAATGTTCTAATGTTCTGCTATCTGTTCTGCTAACTATAAAAGGCACAGCTGTAATACAACCAGAGAGAAAGGCTGCATGACTAGAAACTGTAAAAAAGAAAAGAAAAGACAAATAGCCTAATAGTATGTGAGATGGTGGTAATATCATTGTGTTCCTGTTGGTCAGTGTTAGAGGAGTTTAGCCTGACATTTAGCCTGCTTTAGACCAGGTTAGTTTCCCAGCATAAGTTGCCACAGTAACTAAGCTTGATCTAGGCCTATGTTAAATTTGCTTTATGGAACCAAATCATTTGACAATGAGTCAAGCTAACTGAAATAAGCCTGGCTTATTTGGTTAACTTGTTTTATGAAACGGGCCTCGAGGCATTAAAAGTGATATTTTCTCCATTGCATCATATTGCATCGAATTGTGTGGAATCGAATCGAAATCGGATCGTACTGCATCGTAATATGGGTGAATCGTATCGCATCGCATCGGTAGCTGCTTCATATGTATCTTTAATGTATCGTATCGTTGGCTATGCATCGAGATGCGTATCGTATCGGCCTGAGTCATGAGATGCACATCCC